TTAGGTCATTAGAACAACTTATAAGAGCTAGCGCGCACTGGTGATTTTTGTCATCGTGACATTAAAGTTTTTGTCATTGTCATTTCACGTTTCCATATGACATCTATTATGACAATTTTTTTTTGAAATCGAAGTCTCATTTGACAACATGGACTTCAAAGAGACGGTTGTTGTCTGTGAACTCATCAGATTAAGGAGAGAGAAAAATACTAAAACATTACTGGGTACACCCCATTTCGAGTGATAATCTAATAAGTAGAAAGTTCTGTACTTTGTTTTATAAACTTCGACAATATCCAAATAAATTTATTCGATATTTCCAAATGAGTATTAGAAGTTTTGATGAATTACTTCGCACTTTAGGACCTGCAATAACATACAAAAATACGAATATGAAATTGTCTGTCCCAGCTGAAGAAAGACTAGCTGTAACGTTGAAGTGAAGTAAAAAATAAGTAAATTTAAATTGTTTTTTTCAATTAAAATGCAAAATGGTTTTAATTATAAAAGTAAGAATTTATTTAATGATTTCCCGTGCTGATATTGTACTCCTGGCAGATGTCATAAACTTTGGAATCTTCATTAGAGTCAGCTGTAAACTGTGAAATATATGATTGAATACTACTCGAGACTAAGGAATCTTCAGCTGTATGAAGTTGGTTTTGGGGACTCGGCTATAGTATATAGGAGAAGGAGTTGAGTAACGACTCGGCCGATATAGAGGGACAGAATACCTGGGGTTGATTTAGAAATTTTGAGGACTTCCTTTGTAGCTTGTAGCTGGACTATACATAGGAGAATAATTTTGCTGGGCTCTGTGGAAGTTTTGTTTCCGAACATTTTCAGTGCAAAATGCTTTTCCCTGTTAAAAAAAAAACACTTTAATAATAAACACGAAATCCACAATAATGAGCCCAAATCAAACGATTACTCGTCATACCGGACACCGAAAATCTCGTGCAACGAGCACGATAGACGAGAACGATAGTAAGGTTCCTAGAATTTAAGTAAGTTCAGAAGTACGTAGAAAGCAAGCAGTGGTCGATGAATATAAATCGATAAAATAACGGGGAAACACACTCAAAACGCACACATATCTACTAAAAGATACGAGTCGAGTGAGATCATAGATTCAGGGTTGCCGTTCTACAAATTTTAAAGTCCCTAGACTAACAGAAAAAATCTGCCAGAAACAGGATTTTTCCTTTTCTTAAAATCCGCTAGATGTCCCCAGGTACATTTTCGTGCTACCATTGGGCTAACTGAAAAATATTGCTAAACAGTATATATATTATATACAATGAATACCGAAAATCTAAATGTATAAATTCAGAAAAACCTTAAAAAGAGCGAACTCTATTTCATATAAATCAGTTATTTATAGTGTAGGTTAATGACATGACAACCAAAACAAAAATCATTCATGTATAAAATAAAAAAAAATATTATAAAAAATAAATCTTTAGTCTTTAAACTACGTTTAAACATTAGTCATCTTACTAAAAATAAAACAATTAGCTCAGTACGTTCTTGTACCTAAATTTCAAAATTAATAGCGAAGTATGGATCTAGATCTTCAAAAAGAACTTCAGCGGAAGTTGAAGCTTCGCCAATGTCTCCAGTTCCCATCTTAAGGGCAAACCACCTTACCGACTTGGTTGACAACATCTTTAGGAATATATCATAAGTTGCGCAATTCTTTTTTTTAATCCTTAACTGATTTCTTATTAGAAGAATTTCAAACTTTTTTTCGATGGCTTGTTTCGCAGTTTGCTTTTGACTATATTCATAACACCAAATACGCGTTCAAATTCGGCATTTGATTGCGGTAGTGATAATATTATTATTGCAAAATTACATAAATCTTCGAATATGTTTACTCCTGGTGCATTTTTGTATGTCGAAACAGATGAAAGTGAATGAACGACATTGAATTGTTAGTTGATGTTCGCGAATTCCCGTGAACTTATATTATATATACAGTACCAACGTAGATTACAAAATTGGATATAAGATAAATGACTTATTTGAAATAAATTACTTTATAAAAAAGTCGCCATCTAAAAAGTCCAAATATCGCTAGAAGTCGCTAAATAATTGTTTCTCGCTAAAACGATTTTTTTATCCGCTAAACTTTGTTAAAATCCGCTAGATCTAGCGAGAAAGTCGCTCAAACGGCAACACTGCATAGATTGAGTCAGGCGGGAGCTGTCACTGTCAGTACAGATTAAAAATACAGTTGACAAACACAAGTAATAAATCGAAATGAAAATGAAATTTATTATATTGGTAGTTTTTTTTACTATGTTAATTATAATGTATATAATTAATTTAATTCATTCAATCATCTGGTGTAAGTGTATAGAGTGGGAGGCTGGGTACTGCCACCTGCTTGGAATCCTGTTTTTAATAAAATTAAAACTGAACCAAAGCATACCACTGCATGACTTCAAGACACAGTCAGTTCATTCTGCGTAGATTGGACCATAAGTAATAATTGAAAAGCTGAAGGTACTCCGGGTTAACACTAACATTGGGAGGTCAGTTCTCCGTGATCATGGGTGCTGAAAAGCATCCGAAACGTGAGGGATTAAAAATCATGTAAATTAAACGCAACAAAATCCGTAAAAGTAGCTTTAATCGATGGTGTAACTTATTTTTATTTGTAATTGGTTAAAATTCACCATTAATCGATTAAAATAACCGATTTCCTATTTTATTCGTGACATAAACTTATTTTTAAGATTTCTCGTCTTCCAGATTGTGAATTTGGCTTATTTTTTATATTTTGAAATTGAAAAATACTTTTTTTTCAACTTATTACAAATTGGGCCCAGAAATCCCCGTCTCCTTTGCTTTGTCTTTCCTCATTCATTCTTTCCACATGACCAAATTCACCAAGTCATTCCTTTCTTAATCCTGATCACAACATCATCTTGCAAACCACACTCTTCCTTATCACACACTTTCTCACTAATATTATTTTTTTTAAATGTTACTATAAAAATTGTTTTAAAAGCAAATAACTTTTAAAAGCAGTGTAAATACTTACGTTATAATAAAACAAATAACAGCAAACTTTCTTTTGATGGCCTCTTACACTCGCGCGCCGAAGGAAATAGAAATAATATATATACATAAACGCGATAATGATGGACGATGTACATCGATTTATTAAACACACTCAATGTAAAGTATCGACTATCGATTCATCGAATCAATCCGACGTTTTTTTCATTTGTCAATATTGAGTAAACATCGATGTTTTTAATTCGATGCACGAAGAGGTGAACCTGCTAGGATACCATTGTTTTCGCATGAATGCCACTTTGTGAGCAGTAGTCAGTGCTTCGTACATTTTTGAACGCAAAGGTGGACTGCGCAGCTGGTTGAAGGTGCAATACCAGTGCTTAAATTTGAAGTAAGATTATACTTATTTTAAAAAGATTAAAAACTAGCTTTGGCAGTTATTTATGTAAGTACATACGCAATTGCATGTAAACGTTCACAATAGATATAAGTAGGATCTCATATTTTACATTGTAAAAATTTAGTGAAGATTCTTTTAATTAAAAAATGCTTGTAATAACATTCCAGAACGTTGGGCTCGCCTCAGCTTATGATCTGAGGTAACCGCTGAATTTGAGAGAACACCATACATACTTTGTAACATACATTTAGAAAATTTAAAACAGTCTTGTTTTAATGAGACATTTATTTCATAATATACGCGTAAAATACCGCACTTATAACATTGTAAGCGTAAACATTACAACTTACGTACAATCCAAAATTCTTCGAAATATAGTGATTATAACATATTATACTATTTTTTTTAAATAAGAGAGTGAAGAAAGAGCATGCGGCTTCCTGATGGTAACTAACAGCCACATATGAACATCTGCAACACCAAAGGGATCGTTGGTGCGTTACTGTAAAGTGAAGGCCTTTTTAAAGTTCCTTACTTATATGCGTCCATCAATTCACTGCTGAAAGAAAATTGCACAACGAGGTCGTAGTATAAATTCATTCAAGTTTTGTTTTCTACACTCATAAATGCCTATAAATATTCTAAATGTTTAGGGCTTAAAGTCATTTTCTGCCACAGAGTCCGCCTGCCGAGTACTTAGATGACGAGGCTTAGATGTAAGCTTTCAGGATTAAAAGATAAGAGAATTTAAAATCATATTACATTCAATCCAATTCAGTGTACTTGCCACCTTCTTCGCTTAGCCGCTACAATAGTATGAACTACTATATATTAAGCACTAATTAAATAAAATGGTCTCAGGAACTCAGGATATCAGGATAAGTAAGGAGAGAGGATAAGTTTCAAAACAATCTTTATATCTATATAACATAAAGCAAAGTCGCTTCCTGCCTGATTTTAATGCGGTTTTCATCAATAGATATAATGATTCAATAACCCGTGCGAGGCCTGGGCGAATTGCTAGTAGAATATAATATACGACATCAGGCGTGGCCATAGCCAGTTTACATCTATGATCCATGATGGCCACAGTAGTTAAGCATATTATAACTATATGATTTACGAGATAATTGTTTCGGATTTGGGTGTTGTAAATAGGTATGCAATTTTTTCTAATGTTAATTATTTTATTTTATTTTATAAATATTACATTATACCTTTCGTTAATTAATTATTTTTTATCGCTTAAATGGTTTTTTGTAACGCCTGTAAAATGTTACTAGCCATTTGTAAGTTATATTAAAATCCTTTTACATAATTTGTAAGTTAAAAAGCAAATAAATATTATGTATACAAAGACAACGTTTTCTTTTAAACGTTAAAACGATAAAACCTTTTCTAGTTGGCCTATTAAGTATATAACATATAAGCACATAGGTAAATGCCTTTGTACGTACTCTGTTACGTTACGTCCTCAAAATTGTTTGACTTACATGCATTGTTAAATAAATTAAAAGGAAACAATAACTGGATAGAGGTAGCGGCGGTTACAGCTTAATATTTTATAGATTCATTGCATTATAGCAGCAATGAATGGTATTAACAAAAACGTCGATAGATTTCCAGTAAAAGAAGGGTTGCTACCGTCTTTAACTGGTGGTGATGCCTCCTCACCATCGGTACCAAAAACTCTACCCCACACCGCGAAACTATACAGATCTGAATTCTGTTTATTGAGAGTAAAATTGTACGTAGTTACTCGCATATTATTACTATTTTCAAGTGTAAAAGTATAATCTTGAGGTTCTAGAGGCATTATTTTGATGTCCAACGAAACGGGATAAAAAGTAGAATCGGCAGCTTTTAAATATGTATCAATCACGGGCGTTGGTACAGTTGCAATTATGCTGAGCTCTTCAAAAATACCGGTCGTGTTTTGTTCAAAGTTTGGGAACCTGTAACAAATAAAGTTTCGTTTAAAATTATTTAATCGAGTAAGTATATTAAGAGTGACTCTGTATAATAGTAGGTTCAGCAGATATTGTATGACAAAAGTGTGTTTTGCAAGATGATGTCGTGACCAGGATTAATAAAGGAATGCTTCAGTGGTTTGGACACGTAGAAAGATTGAATTAGAAAAGGGTGAGAAAGTTTAATGCTACAGAAGAGAGTAGCAGAGTTGGCAAGAGACACCCCAGACGTAAGCTTTTTCACTAAATTGGCAATATATTGAAGATGGAAATCTCACACCATACCAGCGCGAAATAGCAGCTTAATACAGCAGTGTTTCATATGAACAAAATAAATATAGAAACATAATAACATATTGTCTGCGTAAATGTAACATCTCTTTCTTCTTCATCGGCCTTTTCATACAGTTTTATCTTTTTTTTTTAAAAATCCAAATAAATGATTATTTCATATGATGAGCATAGAAATCATCATCCACTTACCACCAGGCCGACTGTGTACTCGTTTGCCATTGTTATTCTATAAAAAAATATGGGTTAAGTCAAAAGTACAGTATGTATGCGTTGACATTTTAAGGATATAAAGGTTGGCTATGCCAAATGGAACTTCATAGTCTGTGCCAACCTTTGATCATATATATATATATATAAAAAAAAAAAAATACATTTTTCAATTCATCGAAATTGTAATTTTGTAATTTAAAATATTAATTAACGAGCGATAGACAGGACAAAGCGGTTAAAGTCGTAATCCATTATTTTTTACGTAAAGGTAACAAGTTACTTAGTCTATTTCATGTAAAATAGAATGTACTCTATGAGTGTCTTATAGATACGTGTGCACGAGAGATTGTATTCGCATGCAATAACTTCGTCTAAAAAAATAATTCTCAAAGAAAATATACGGAAGGCGCTGCAGTTTGTTCTAATTGTTTTAATACATGTTTTTGCTATTTAAAAATAGATAATTTCGATCAACAATAACAACTTTTGATCGAAGCTAGATAACGTTACTGACATACGAGATCAAAGTTTTTGTATGACATTATTGCTAAGCGCCGCTCTAAATCTTTATAAATCTATTTGTATTTCAGTAGGAGAACTTAATAAATATATATCAACTACCTATGTTTAGAAAGTCCGTAATTTACGACTAACCTTTTTCCACATGTGTCTATAGTGTCCCCAGAGCATGCTACCACTGAGCAAATCCTGTTGCCACCCGTCGCCATTCCGGAGAAACTGCGAACCCCACTGAAGGCCGCCGCTCTATATCTGTAATACTAAAACCATAGCATAGCAAATGATATTTTATTAAACATATTGAAATTGTGAATTACACACACACATATACATACATACACAGGGGTCGAGATTTGATCGTAATTTACGCGCTCAAATCGGCGGCACTAGCGCCATCTAGTCTCGAACTGAAGAACTAAATTTCTTGAAGTTTAAAACTTGAACTCTCGGTACCTTGCGCGTGTTTACTTGAACATTCTGGATATTTCTTTGCTAATTTATATAAATAGGTGCTGCAAGATGCGATCGTGGTAGTGTTGATTTGGCGAGACAAGCGAAGCTTCGGAGCGGAATAAAGTGAATTAGTGTGTTTAATTATTAGTGTTTTTAACTTTAATTTGTGTAAAGTAAATTAAAGTGTTAATTTAGGTAATTTTATCGGCAATTTTTATTATCACGAACCTCAAGCTCGTAACAGTAATTTATAAAAAAATATGTTTGTACATTAGTGCAAGCTTTATTTCACTTTCAACTACACACACAAAATAATATAAAATAAAGATTTGGATATCTAATACACAAAATATTACAGAAACGTATTTTTATCTTAACATACACTATAAATTCGACTATTGTTTCGTCAATCTGTTGTTAACTGTTCGTTGAAAATATTTTTAAATTCCTTGGGGAAAATTAAAACATAGCGAATACACGAGTTAGAGCCATGCTGCTGCTATATTATGATTGTAACACGAGTGGGTCGGCTATAGAAATATAAAAATTTCTTATATCTACGGGACCGGCTTAAGACCACGCTCTCACAGCGATACGAGCATAAAATAGCAGCTTAATACTGCTGTGTTATATATCTTAAATAGATATAATATATCTTAGAAGTTAAATAAAAACCACTACCCCAAGAGGATACCTGCTCCCCTTGTGACAGAAATTTCCTCGCTAAGCATCAACGCCCAAGCCACCCTGCTCTTCCTGAGTGTGGGTGCTCAGGCACTTCCACATATTCTGGTGAGGGGGGGCGGGGTGAAATTCCTCTCCGAAACCATCCGGGGCAAGTGGTGTAAGACAAAGGCGATACCTGCCACGCTGCCCGTGAATTTTTGCAACATCAGAGCACATCTTTCAAGATGCCCACTATCATCTGGAGACGGCGAAGCCGGCCTTACTCTTTCTAACCCAAATACAGGTGTCCTCTTCGGTTGGTACTTACTGGAGTTTGCGTATACATCAGAGAGCACATCTGTTTTCGATGCCTCTGCAGTCTTGAAGGTACGGACCTGTTCCAAGATGGACACATCCTATGGCTACACATAGACAGCGACAACCGGTAATAGCGGTAATGACGATACAAACCGACTCATCGACCACGTCCAAATGGCAACAGACTCTGTGCTGCAACAAATCCCATCCACAGAAATCGTGATACTCAGAGATTTTAGCACCCACCACGCTGAATGGCTTGGTTCCCATTTAACCGATTATGAAAGTTGATCTGTTTATAACTTTGCCTTGGATATGGTCTGTCATAACTAGTTAATTCACCTATGCGGATCCCAGATAACATTATCATGCACCTTTCCAGTTGGATCTTCTGTTATTAGATCTCAGTGGATACTCCTCTTGGCTCTTCATACTACCATAGTCTCAAACGGAGTACGGAGCTAGTCACGCTCCCATGCGTTCTGCAGTTTGCCGCCATGTTTGGCATTATAGGTCGGCTGATAGGGACAGGATGTGGTATTTTTTTGCATCCTACCCTTGAAGGCGCATTTGCTTCACGCCACACGATCCCAACGTTTTTGCTGATTCTGTCGCTGATGTGGTACTTCAGGGAATGGAACATTTTATTCCATCATCTGTGGTGCCTATCGGAGGCAGGATTCAGCCATGGTTTGGTCAATCCTATAAAATTATCTTGCCATAAGCAGTAGTGCTACCGGGCCTTGGCAGAAGTATCAACGTCTCGAAATGCAAGCACCAGCGCTTTATAGAAAGTATAATTCTGACTCCAGGTCCTTTACCAATGTCATTGCCAAGGCAAAGTCAGAGCACATCGGCAGAATTACCGAGAAAATAGTTCGACTTCCTTCGGGAACACGTGCATTCTAGATTTCTATAAAGAGAACTACTGTCAGTTATCTCTGCCATCTCTGCACAAAGAACGACTCACTGGTCCATGCCGCATCTGCTAGGTCCGCCAAATCTGCTAGGCTCTCTCTTTGCGTCCAACTCAACCATTTCGTGGTGTGAGTGCTCTATGCAGAATGTGCTATTTACACAGCGCTCAGTCCGCAAACCACTCCTCTCCCCTGACTTGACATCCTGATGGAGTCCGTCACATTGTGCTGAAGACGTACCAATTCCGGAGGCACCGGTTTTAATGCGACTTTTCCGGTACTCCTACTTTCTAGACGTAGTCCCGAATTCACAATACTTATAATAAGACAGCTTTGGTCCACTCAATCCCTAAAAATGGCAACCGCTCAGACCCGTCTAATTACAGGCCTATCGCCATCACCTATTTATTCTCTAAAATAATGGAATCTATAATAAGCTGCTAGCTCATGAGGTACCCTGGGGATCATCAGCTGATTAGTGAGCTGATGGTTTTCGGCGGGATCCATAAGTAGGTTATCTTCTGGTCTAACTGACTCGTAGATGGGCGGAGGCAGTAGAGTTCAAGGGGTAGGCCTTGTCCATTAGTTTGGACGTAGCGAATGCCTTTGATCGGGTTGGGCACAAAGTGCTTCTTTCGAAGCTTTCTTCCTGTGGGTGTCCCATGAAATTGGGAAATTGGATCACCAACTTTGTGCAGATCGGAACATACAAGCTCGTAGTAGATGGTACATGCCATGGTCCAGTTATAAGCCTTTTAACGCTCGTGTTTCACGAAGCTGCTTGCTAACAACAACGCTGTTTCTTCTGCATACCAATGATGTGTTGCAAACCGGTAACATATGTTGACGGCAATGGCGGTACTTTTTACATCAGCCGTGTCAATATTTCGCGTAAAAACGTCGCTGAGTACCGAAACAAACTTGAGTCTGACTCTGAAGATTAGAGGCTACTAAATATAGTCCAGTTCAATCCCCAGAAGACACAGTTTACGCGTTTAAAAAAATACTTTTCGTATGAGGAGTTTCAGGGCACTCCCCTGCCTGGAGTTTTAGGCCTCTCCCAGTATTGGAATTATAGGCGTTGATATATCGAATAACGTGCAGTTTCGTGGCCACTTGGAAGGGAAGGCCAAATTGGCCTCTAAAAAGTTTTGCGTGCTCAACAGAGCCGAACAGTATTTCGTCCCGGCATACCGCCTGCAACTTTACAAGGCGCAGGTTCAGTCTCACATGGAATAATGTTCTATCTTGGGCTGGGGCTCCCCAGTGCCAACTCTTTCCATTTGATAACATCTAGCGTAGCATAGCAATTCGATCGTCTGCGACAAAACTCTTTCTGATCGGCTTGACTCACTGGTACAGCGAAGAGATGTTGCATCTCTTTGCGTATCGTTTTATCACATTGACCATGAGAAGTGTTCTGAGAAATTTTTCGGACCAATTCCAGCCGCTCAATTTCATACGATCTGGATGATTGGCGGTCCACCACTGAAAGCAATTGACAAGAAGTATTCTTCCTCGCACAACTTTCTTGTGGAAGCGACTAGCACCAGCGATTTTTCCGGACCGATACGACTTAGGGACCTTCAAGAAAAGACCCTACTCTTTTTAAAAGGGCTCTAAAGCACCTGTGATTCCTCTAGTGTGGCACTTGTTCATGACTAGCGGTCAACACTTATTCTCATATGAGTCGCATGCTAGTTTACCTTCTCTTCTATAAAAAAAAATCTTTGTAAGAAATCATACGCCCGATAGCTCATTGAGTGTTACAGTTGCACTACTAAAACCGCTATGATTTCATACGGGATAGGGACGGCCTTAAGGTCAACAAATAATGCTCGATGTGCTGTCGTCTGTATAAAGGCCGAACGTTCCCTGCAAACCTAGTCACTTCTCATTTCCTACCTTAGGATGCAAGCTATCTCGAATCTTGATGGGATGCAGAAAGATAGCTTAAATACTAAAGCAGGCATGATTTCGCAAATTAGGAGTGGACTGAAGTGTAGAGAGCGTTGGGATTGGGGTTTAAAGAGTGGCAAAGATATTTTCGCAAGGAATCTTACAAAAGCCCGAACGTCTACTACACACCTTGTTGCTCTTTATTTGGAGCCTTAGTATGATGTTTATGACGTCAAAATAGAACTCCGACAAAAGGTAGAACTAAACACGCTATTTCGACACTACCGAGCTCAGGCAAGACACTTCTAAGATAATATGGAGCTCCAACATCATACAACTGAGATATTACTCCAATATATGTTAACTTCCACAATACTGTACTTACACAAAATAGAAGACAGGAGTGTACACGTCCATCGCACCTAACAAATAACATGTGAATCATGATAACCACCCTTATTGTTACGAAATATAGAAACTTTCTGAATCAAACTGAACAGACTGAATGACTAGCTTCAAAACTGACGTAAGGTTAACAGTAGCTACCAATACGTTTGGTGAACTCCCTCTACTGTTTTGTGTTGTTGAATTTCATTTTTGTCGGAATAACGTACCCAATGTCTGAGTTGTATAATATCAGAGCAGCATATTGTCGGCGAAGTGTCCTGTCTAAGTTCCATCAATTCTGTTAAGTACGCACTAAACTTATTTTAAGGTATCGCTCTTTTACTGTAGGTGAAAACAAGAAAAATATAGCAAAAATTTTATTCCCGTCGAATTAGTTTACGTAATGTATTCCTACGTATTTTTAATCTACGTGCCATTTAAAATTTTTCGGGGATTTTAGTTTCCCTATAGTCAACCAAATCTAAGAAATACATTTTGACAGCTGTCATACTTATAGTACCAAGCACCAACCAAAAAATGGGAACGTACAATAGTCGATTCTTAAAAAAATGGATATCGATTATTTAGAGTTGATAATCATTTACTGTTTGTTTTGAGTAATACCAGAATAAATTAAAAATGGATAACACAAGATTTATCAGTTACTTCGTATTTGTTGTCACTGCTTATTTATAGAGGCAAAGTTATAAAAATTTAAGATTGAAACTAGATAAAAAAAATCAACACTAAACGGCTCTTTTACATCAATTATTATTTAATTCCCAATCGTCAATTCAAAGTCATCCATAATCAATTTTTTTGTTTTTCTACCACTTTTTCCCAATCATCCTTTGTGACATGGGCACATGCTTCAACGAATATAGAAGAAACAGTCCAAAAAGTTAAAGCTGAGTCACAAAATAAGAAGACAAACACAAAATCACAAAATTACGCACAGTAAGCTCCCGAAATGGCGAGACATTGAAATTCCGTAGTGGTTTTTTTCAGCGTGGTCTTGAATGATGTGTTTTTTGCCTATACGTTGACAAAGTAAAAAAAAATTATTTGACCCTGCAGGCCATCCCTGGAACTTCCCGCTAATTTCAAATGCAAATTGCCCCGAATTTCACCAAATTATGATTTTGAAATATCGGAGTATTTTACAATCAATTTTTTTAAAATTTATATTTTTAAGATTTCTCAAAATCCGAGTTAATTAAAATGCATAGGAAATCTAAGTTTGATGAAATAATTTGGATTTTTTTTTAATTAAACAAGTGATACATAAAAAAATTAATGATACGATTATTCGAATACTTTTATCAATTATCTGAATAAATTTGCCGATTATTCGCATAACAATGAATTTTAATCATCCAAACACTACGGTAAGGTACATAGCGCCATATTATTGAAACGACGTCAAGTAAAAAGGTTGACACTGTTTTTTTTTAAAAATTTTGCTTTGTTTGAAAGGTTCGAATTTAAATTAGTAATAAAAAAGTATACACGTTGTAATGAAAAATAGATTTCATAATTCATAATTCTTCGGATTTACGGATAAAGTGTGAGTACGCTTGTGCAAAGTTATTGCGGAATTATTAATGTGAAACGTCAAAAGGTATTTCTAAGATTTGGTTGACTTATTTGAAAGCGATAAAATTATTGCTATCTCTTTCTTGTTTTACGCGTAAGTATCTAAATGATAATAATAGTTTAAAATGAGTTTAGTTCATATTTAACTTAATCGACACTTGTGTCGAAATAGCGTGTATCGTACTATTTCTTGTCGTCACACCGACTACCTATAAAATAAAGTAGGTAACGCTATTATGATTTTACTCGAAAGAAAATATAATATCTATGTGTCTTACATATACCTATATGAAAAGGATTGTTACATTTATTTACTATAAAATAAATTTTTCTTATATTTTATGCCGAACTTGTAGTTTAAATTATAATATTAAATGAATCATTTGCCGTATAGTATTTGTATTATATTTCATTTCGTTTGAAGGTTTCATTTCTGTCGCGTGTGAGCTGCACGTTTTTTTTTAAATTTCAAGGTTTTTCGGATAAAAGACATCCTAGATCACTCGTGGCATAGCTCCCCATTAATTTGTTCGTGAAGTTTTAAACAAATGTATAGACTTAACCAAGTCTTAGGCGAATAAGTCGGTGCTGAAGACAAAGTGAGTAGAAGAGCTGGCCGATCCTCATTATAATGCCGTTCACAGTTCGTTCTCGGTCCGATCTCGGTCTGATGAAATATTATCAAGTAAAAAATATATGTGTGCATTCATACTATCCGGTAACCATCATCCGGTCGAATCCCATTCCGTTATAATAACTCAGACTGAAATCGGACCGAGAACGAACTGTGAACGACAAATGAAGATCTTTCCTTAAAGCCAGGACTTTGGAATTTTATCTTCTATTAAGTCGGCTTTTAATTTTTACTAAAAATTTATTTTTTTAACCCTTTTTAGTGAACTAAGAAACTTAAGAATTCCATTTCAAACAAAGCTAATAATATGTTAATTTTGTACTGTTGTCTATCCTTTCTTTTTGTTTCTTTTTAGGGATCCGTAGTTACACAACAAGGAACCCTTATAGTTTTGCCATGTCCGTCCGTGTCGTCACTGTTTTACTCTAAGACCCAATCAAACATGTAATTTGGCATAGTTGTATATATTAATCACGCCTACAAAACCGTGAAATTAAATTTTAAAAACATTTTTTTTTTTGGGTACGTTCCATACCGATATATTATGGAGAAAGATTTTTCTTACCCGCCTTTTCTATCGTGTATGGTATCATTAGAGGTCCGTTTTCGAGATATTTAGCTTTAAAGTGTTTTTTTCGTTAGTCATATGCCCCCCACCTCGACCTAGCCCACATTGTGATCAAATCGGAAGTATTCATCATCATGAATGTTGTATGAATTTAACTTTCAACGACTTTTATTAGTTAGTGTAATGTGTGACAGTGATAATGAAATATTTTCTGCCTATTTCCAAATTACATTAAATCCACAATAGAAAATCTATAAAATGAAGATCCCGAATGAAATGAAGACATGGCCTAAAGGACAAGAATCCAAGCAAAATATCTTAATAAAAAAATCTATATCCTGAACAGAACAATTTTTTGTGTACATTTGAATGCGTTTCTGGATGGTCTAGATGTACAATTGGACCCGGTAGGTTGCGCTGTTATTGAGATCAAAAATCACTCATGCGAAGTCGGAGCTGATCGCTAGTTTATAATAAAGGTAAAAGGTGGTCCCTAACCTAAAGAACTATTAGTCGAAGTCCTACCACCCGGTTTAGTTTTGTTAATAGTTAAATTATTAAAAAATTAGTAAAAAATTTAAACAATTTGCCTGATCCATACGAAATTATTATTTTACCTTCATTAACTACAAAATCTTAATCATCCGGAACAATATTCAGAACTTGTTAAAGGTATTTATTAATATTCACAGAACAGTTAAGTGTTAACGAACTTTATTATGGAATAAAGAAAATATCCAAATCTATAAAAAAAGATAATTTAGTGGAATCCTTCTTTAATTAAGCAAAACTTATTTAGAAACTATTCAAAACTATTTTATGATCAATATTTACTACAAAAATATGGTGTTACAATTATTTTAATGTACATTAAATTATATTTGACGCAAGCTCTGTTCTATTCTCAGTCTTCCCACTTAGTCTAAACAACAGATTATTCCTGCTTCTTTTCTTTCTTATACATCCAGTCTTCTATCTCCAAATAGTTTTGCAAATCCTCTTGAGTTGGGGGTTTATTATGATCTACATCTCTATTATAAATTCTACCCCAGACGCCAAATGCGACCAAATCAGTTTGAGGTGCATTTAGTTTGTACGTTATGTGCTCTTTTCTTCCTTTCGTATTTATTTCAACACTGTTACCAATAGAACTTCCAGCTTCTTGTTTAGAAGTTTCTTCGAAAGTAAAGTTCATCGGCCTTATTGCGAATTTGTTGTTTTTGAGCGATGTTGGATAGTAAACGATATCATCGCATTGGAGAGAGGTGTTGTAGTGGAGACGATATGTTGTCATCTCTATCACTAGTTCTTCTATTTTCACATTCTCTTCCGTTTTGTTGAACCTGAAATTTTAATGCACATCAAACATTGGCAGGCTGTGCGTAATAATCAATCACCCTATGAGACGACTCTAGACGTAAGCACATAAGAACGCTCATTGCACTTTTCCACATTTTGAATTTTTGTCGCTAATTTTGTGTTTTGGTGTGGATATAGGAAATGCCAGAAATATCATGGAAAGAATTATTATAAATGACATTCTAGCTCTCTCTCTTACGTCAGTCGCCGAATTCGCGACCGGCGACGGGCAGCAGTGGCAAGGTACAAGACGTCTGGTACTGCGATCGTCAATACGCCAGTAGAGTGTGATGATTAGAGCAACCTCCCCGTAACGAAACTGCTCTTCTGTTCAGCAGTGGACTTTTTACCAGCTGACGAATGTAAAGAACCGTAACCGTTTAAATGCGGTATCCACTCGCCCATATCGCACGTAAGAGGTGACGTAAGAAGTGACAGGTGAAAACAAACCAGACATAGCAGCAGCGTCTTCCTAATAAATAAAAAAAAACTAAAATAACGGTACAGTTGCGAACCCCTGCCAAAAAAGGTATATATAACAAATGTCACCCCTATGAGACAGTCTAAGGGTAGACCTTTGTTCAATAGTGAAATTTATATGTGAACATGCTGTAAACCATTTCTTGTAGACTATTTCTTAACAGTTTTGTTGGGTTATAAAATAAACGATCCTAGTTGATGAACCCAGCGATATGAGTTCACTTTAGTGGCAGCCCTGAGTGTATGACACCGGGACAAGGACAACCACACTATAATGGAACCAGAAAGTCAATAATTTATAGTGCACAAATTTTGTCTCCGGCTGGGATTTGGATGGAAGTGAACGGTACGGTAGGCGTCAAAAAAGAAATATTTTAAGACTATAATATAATATAATTATCCAGACTGGCTTTTACACTGTCGCACACACATGCGCGTCCGCACGCAAACATTGCATAGTATTTTTTACCAAAAGAACGAACACAAATTTTGAAAAATCAACAAAAGCGGTAAAAATTGTCGAACCTTAAATCATGTGTGCTTTACTTCACGCGCAATTAGGTTACAAGTTTATTTTAAATTAGTTTGTAGTACAGTTCAAATTTTTTACTATTTAAATAAAAACACATCAAAAAATATATTCATGCCATAGGTTTCCACTTTTTTCACCTATTATACCCAGCAATTTTCCAGACCATCCAAAAAGTAAGTCAGTATAATTAATATACATGCTTCATAACTTATGAAGCATGTATATTATTTATTATTAGTGTTGCCAGGTCTAGCAAATAAAATTTCGGGACGGAAGGTAAAAATAATCGATAATTTGATTTTCAAATCGGGACAGTTACAATGGCTACAAAATATAGGTTTTTTGTAGCCTTTTTTGTGCTTTATAATTATTATTCCGGTCTGATCTCACGAACAAATAACTTTTCATCCAAACATCGTAAAAACTTCATATTCTTCGTCTATATTTTTTCGTTTTAGGCAAATCAAAACATTTTTGAACTATATCTAGAGTTTCGATAAAATCGTTTTAATATAATTCTGTTTAAAACTGTAGTAGAAAATCGTTAGAGTAGATAACAGATGTAATCATTTTTGCTGTAAAAATTATGTGTTAAAGTATAGAATAAGAAGATTGGTAAAAATCGGGACATTTGGCGTCCCGATCAAGGGTGAATCGGGTCGTGTCACCAGACCCTTGAAAATCGGGACGTCCCGCGCAAATCGTGACACCTGGTAACACTATTCAAAAGTCATAACCCTCTCAGCAATAAAGGGAGGGCCTGCACCCAGCCGCGAGATGTATATGATATAATAAATGGGTGATACCCCCCTGTGTGCACGATAATAGACGATAATAACAATTAAAAAAAATAATAGGACTATCGTAAAATCTGTCGTTTGTGAGCGTCTACATTGCGAAATGAAACTATGATTTCAGTCAATGGATATTAGATATTGGTATATATTACCCACGGGCCTCGGAAAGGACGTAAAGTCGTTGGTTCTGTGCCCGATCAATCTCTTATCAAGTCGGGTTACCGTTCAATCGGTCGGCTATTGATCTCTCTGTTCCCTTACTCTCCTCATCCGATTGAACGGTAACCCGACTTGATAAGAGATTGATCGGGCACAGAACCAACGACTTTACGTCCTTTCCGAGGCCCCTGGGTAAGACTCCCGGCTGCTACTGACAATTCTCGGCAGAGAAACCCAATAACTGGTACTGATACAATCTGGGGTTCGAACCCGTGATCTCATGATGAGCAATCACGTTAGAAACCACTAGACCAAATAGGCAACAATGTATATTATATAGGCTGTAGCTAACTAAAGTAATACCTGAACGGACAGCTTTTGACGCTCTCATTTTTACATGCAATCACTGAGCAAGCAGCCACGCCCAAGTCACGTCGGGAGTACGTGTTGACGCTATCCTTGACGAAAGCCCTATAGTGTGGACCCTAAAAATTTATAAAATACTTTAAAAAAATACAAATGTAAAATTGAAAAATCACGCAAAAGTAAAATTCAAAAATGGGCAATTTTGCAAAAAATTGTAAATTCAAGCGAAAAGATTTACAAAATATTTAGACAAAAATTTTAGAACACTTACCTTTATAATAAATTAAATAATATTTCATAAATGATCTTGGCATGCAACTACAATTTACAACCATATAACAGAATGTAGGTAATATAATGTTAATAGACTCATGCTAATTCTAACAAACAGACGATCTATCAATAAAATGTCCTGAACTATAAATATATAGATTAAATCACGATATAAGTATTTGCAAATCATGCATGATGACATAGACCTTTAGATCGGATATAAATCGGAATTAATGAATTGTAACTTGAATGAATTTGTTAATAAAAAATCCCTTAAAGATGGTATAAAAAATTCAATCCTGCCAACATATTTAAAAAATACTTTTAACATAACTCACTTGTTCTCCAGTACTATGTTGAAGCTTAGCCCTAAACATGCAGGAGACGTCTTTGTCCGTAAGAATAAACTCTTGGGAGCCTTCTACCAGCGGACGGCTAACATGCGACGGTAATGATGGATCACTGATCAACACCAGACTATCGAGAGACCTAGGATCGTCGCTTATTGGACCTGGATATGATTCTTTCACCTGTAATGGAATTGTAACCTTTAATATTGTTACAAAATACATTAACGTTAAATATTATTTAATAAGGCTTTACCTTATAAAAGTTCTCATAAAAAGTACGGCCGGTATTTTTGGGTTTTTTATAAGATAAGTGTGACAAACGAGCACACAGTCCATCTGATGGTAAGTGGTTGCTGTGGCCCAAAAACATCTACATCTGTCCTCGTTTGCGAATCAAAATGCAGATGCGTTGTCACCCGTAAGGACTAAGATGGAATGCCTCGTTTCCAGAAAAAAGGGTCTCTGGTTCTCTACACTCACCATACGAAACACGGCAGCATTGAGCTGCTAATTTACGCTGGTATTCGGTAAGAGCGGGGTCCTTCCCCGGTCGAGCCGACCCATTTGTGCTACAACTATACTATTAATATAGCTGGAGCATGGTTCTACCACGTATAAAATATATGAGGGATAGAATTAATGACTCGAAGTTAACTATACGAAGCCCTATACGTTGTTATCTACAAAAATAGCTTTATAACATGCATCGTGTGGCATCTCTGGTCGAGACAGATGTCCTTGACTTTATAATTTTCTTTCCTTCCTTGGAAGGAAAGAACACCGATTCCTTCCAAGGACGATTCGCGAGGCTATTGAAATCAAAAAACATCCTAATTTCAATAGAGAAGATGGCTGGGTGCTACCATCTGCTTGGGATCCTATAATAAATAAAATTAAATCCCAACCCAAGCATACAACTGCAAGACTTCAAGATACTATAAGTTCATACTGTGTAGATCGGAACAAAAGTTAAATTTTAATCTATGGTAACCGCGGTTAACTATGACATCTAGATGTTGAACATCTCAGTCCCCCCGTGAACAGTAATTTTTATAATAATATTACCGGCCGTGACCATGAGTGCTGTAAAGCGTTCGAAACGTCGGGTATTTAAAAAGTTAAATATACGTGATAAATTCCGTAAAAACTAGTATTATTTCAATGTGTAGTGTTCGCATAAATATAAGAAATCATTATGTAAATTTAGTTATTAACTAAAGAACTTAAGTTTAGGCAATCAGCGGTGATTCAGCTTTTGCTTATTACACGGGACTGCTTCTCCAGATACTGAAAAATTTCGCCAATAAGCTTGCTCCGATCTAGAATGAAGTCTCGATAAAGTAGATATTAAGCTTTCGGCTGTGACGCCGCAGGGTCGTAGGTATGAATAAGAAATATTATTACAGAACTTTATGTTTGCCCATATGCAATTTACGTCTTTTTAAAACGCCTCCACGATATAGGAGAACATCCTTCATTAATTTGTGAAGGATACTAATTAATTTGTGTAACTTGGTATCTTTTTTTTAAATTAAAACTGAATGTAGAGGCTGATGAAGAAGAAAGATACGTTACATTTGCGCACATAATGTGCTATTATATTTTAACTTAACGATACAACCATTTCACAATAACCGCAAAAAAAAATTGCATTAGCTATATTTATTTTTACATACCTTTCCTGGTACTTTAGGAACTCTTGACACAAAAACGCTAGTGGTAGGAATTCCAGGCATTACGCTGATCAATGCCCCAGCTTTTCCCGAATAAATGCCCGAACCTGAAAATTAAATAAAAATAAAGTGATCTAATTTACCGAGAAAAAGGCAATTTTTCCTTTTTATGTTTTTTTCCCACATGCATTTAATTTTATATTACCAAACTACTATTTTTTTTAGTTTTACCAATTTTCTTACATTCTGTTGTGAAGGAAAATATCGTGAGGAAACCTGCATGTCTGAGAAATAAGAAAAAAAAATATTTCGAAGACGTGAAGTTCGCGAACACGCATTGGGGCAGCGCGGCGGACAATTTCTTGCCCTAAAACCCTCTCAGAAATGAGTGGAGGCCTGTGCCCAGTAGTGGAACGTATATAGTCTGTAACTTTTACATTCTGTTGGAAACCAAATCAACATAAAAAAGCATTATAATTCTTAATTTAGTATTATTGCATAGTTATTGTGTGCCTTGGGAGCAATAACAGCGAAGATTGTGCGGTGCTCTTGAATTTTAAAGAAACGCCAAGTCCCGCTTAAAGCAGCGGAAGCCCTAAGCGATTGTATAAACTTTCATAGTACTTTCGAGACCAAAACAAGTTCGAATCCCGCCGGCACACAACGTCTGAGAAAATTAAAACTATTGCGAGTTTTTTCAAATTAAACAAATTGAGTATAGCCAAGGAAAATATAGTATAGTTACAGCCTACGTATGTCCCACAGGCCTCCTCTCATTTCTTAGAGACTTTGACAGTCCACTGCGCTGCCCCAGTGCGTATTTGCGAACTTCACATGTCTTCGATATATTTATTTAAGTTTTATTTCTCAGGCAGGCTTTGTCATGTTATTTTCCTTCATCGTCGAACACTTGGTAAATCAAAACTTAAAATTGCAACAATTTCATCGGTGCCGCCGGAGACCGACAAAGCTTGCTCGCGTACTACAGTTACAGCGAGCGCTTAGACCCTAAACTATAAAAGGTCCGGCAAACAAATTGAATTGGAAAATATTTTACCTGCACTTCCCACGTTGACATTGTTAGCTCCTGCTGCCAGGAAATTGACTTTCATAGCGTAAGCGTAGGCTTCTTGAATTTGTGCGGCTACAAATAACAAATAACATGCATTATTCATTAATATTAACTTTGTAATAGTATTCGTAATGGAAATATTTGTATCCGTAGAACGAAGAAACGTACGAAGTAACCTACATAGCCCCACTGATCTGAAGAGGCAATAGGTCAGCCATATAGCTCGAAGAACCAACACATATATAATATATATAATAGCTGGGAAGGAAAGTTCACGAGTGGAAATCTCGTATCAGTAAGCGGAAAGGAGGGCTACTAGATGACGTGATGACCTTCTAAGAGATGCAGAATGTTGTCGGATACAGGTGGCTCAGGGCCGTGGTCTGAGACATTCCTTCGCGGCAGTCTATGTTCAGCAGTGGACTTTGAAAGACTGGGACGATATTATTTATTACTTGTCCTCCAGAACGAATTTCGTTCACGGCGGCCAGCCTTAACAGAGACTAGCCATCGGTGCAAGACAGGATTATAGTGTATAAGTGTATGCGCAAGCACAGGTGCACTCTCTACTCCATCACTCTCATATTCCGATGGGACGATAAACCGACACGATCGGAGAGAGAGATCAGGCGCAGGACCAAAGGTTTTAGGTGTCTTCTGAATGAGAATTTTTTGATGGAAAAACTCAATAATTAATTTTTTCACCCGACCCGGGATTCGTAATAATCATCGTACTCATAATCAGTAGTCGCGCCAATACAACCACTAGACCAACGAGACAGTCAATTTATTACATATTATGCTGATATCTTCGGACATTATTTTAAAGTTTTCGTCATATTCAGCATTATCCTCATCGTTAAACATGTCGTTATGGTTACCAACTCTTACTAGTTACCCCGTACAAGTGGTAAGAGTTTTATACAACCGACTTCAGTATAAATAAAATGAGAATATCACCTATGTATTCGAAGTCAATTAAATATGCATTATTAAGGATAACTCAAAGACTACTAGTCAGATCTTGATCAAATTTATATTGAACATACGAGAAGCACCAGCTTTCAAATAAAAAAGAATCACTAAAATCGTTTCACCTAGAAGAAAGCTCTGAGGTAATATACATAAAAAACATACAGTCGAATTGAGTACCTCCTCCTTTCTGGACTCGGTTGAAAATATAGCAGATGGTGCAAAAACAAAAAATAGATAATGTATGTTCCATTGCATCCATGCATCAGTATAAATGTGTATACTGATGCATAGTATTTTCTGAAACGCTTTAAACTATTATTGCGATCCTTACGTCATAAACAACTTTATTAGACGGAGTCTTTAATAAAATACAGTAATTTCGCCTCCTTGTACTTTTGTTTGAATAATAGTTAACCCTAATGTAGTGGGATACTATATTTTATTGCAGGGTAGGGTTGACAACTCTAAAAATGTCTATGCGATAGTTTTTTGGGTAAACAGTTTTCTTTTAGTAAAACTTCACTGGGTGTTTGACTTCAGAACCAAGATTGCAACTAACCCACACCCCCGCTGATTATTGCAATCACGATATTAAATCATAAATCTCACCTGTCAAATAAGGCATCTCCGAGAACCACATAGTACTAAAGATGACATCAGTCAAATTGTGCTTCTCAACCACCTGCACAGCGGGCACTTGGAACATCAGATCGAAGCAGATGAAATGACCAAATGTGACACCGAAGTCGGTAGTAAATATGCCGAGGTCTGGCTTCAAGGCTGGTGTGCGGGTGTACTCGCCAAATAAATTTATCTTTCGGTATCTATGAATAAAATAAAAGAAATATAAAAATAATTGTTATACGCATCATCACCGTTAACTTCGTCATCATTATCATCATTTAACATCCAATCATTTTAAAGCATTGGGGAACAAACAAGTACACAGTCCACCCGATGGTAAGTGCATGCTATGGCCCATAGACATTCACATTTATCCTCAAATAAGAATCGAAATGCAAATTAGTTGTCATAGATAGATTCCACAAAGAGCGGTCAAGCCACAAGCCACGGATTTTACACCTTTGAGCAGACCGCTCAAAGGTATAATATTATTAATATCACAAGCCTAAGGATAATTTTTGTTTGTTCGTATTTTATGCGCTGCCACACCGTTCATCAGATTGCGGTAGGACATTGTCAACGTTTTGCTTGCACTTCCACTAAGGTGTTAGGTATAGTTGGACCCGGTACGTGGCGCTGTTGTAGAATCCAGATGTCACCTGTACGAAACCGGAGTAGATCGCTAGTTAGAATATAAAAAAGAACTCCCTCCTTTTTTGAGGGCGGCTAAAAAAGAGGCAAAAATTGTATTTTATTTTATTAAACTTTGCCTAGGCATAATTTGTCCAAATAGCAAAATACAGGTAAGGATTTTTTTTTATCAAGAAGTGGTGGTAACACTGAGAAACTATATCCAGAATTTGAAAATGAAAACCTCAGACAGTAAAATTACGAGCACAAGCCTAAGTACTTCTGTGTTTTGACCGCTAATGGCGCCACCGGTATGACAAACCAGAAAGTAAAATCAACCGGTACGCACCGGTATGACAAATCAAAAAGTGAGCAACTTACTGGCAATTGATCCATAGGATCCATCCACCTTTCCTATGCCAGTCGTATTTGCGTTCATCTCCCGCCGAATTTTCTCAGCAGGATCCTCACAAAACTACGGCCTCGTGAGTTTCGAAATAAAATCGCAGTTCCTCTACCGGTGTGAGCGCAGGTAATTATCACTCTAGAACTTCTACGCCGTCACTAGACTGCGTTATTACTACGATTATAAATAATACATAATTTTTGATTACCTATCAATAACTGCGCCAGTCCGGTCAAAAACCACGTTGGTGTTGAATAAGTACACTTTCTTTTCTGGACAGTATTCTTCGGTCGCATTGTTGCAGTCCATGACTTCTTGTACATTTATCACGACGTACATTTCATGCTTCTGTGCAGCTCCTGATATGGACACCAAGATCTGAAATTTTTTTATAATCATTTTATTCATAATCATCAACATATAAATTCACAGCTGAACACTCCCCACTGTAGCAAGAATTTGCATCTACTTGTGGGGAAAATGCCAACAATGATCAAAACTTATCAGGAAACCAATAATCAGATGAATTGTTCTGATCAGATGGTCGGAGAAATTTTTCGAACTAATTCCAGTTGTAAAATTTTACCATCGCAAATCATAACAAAACTCGCGGTAACATCCATACCGTCTGGATTATTGGCGGTCCACCACTGTGAGAATTACTAGAAGTTTTTTCCTCGCACGATTTCCTTGTGAAATCGACTAACACCAGCGATTTTTCCGGATTGATGCGTCATGGGGACCTTCAAGTAAAGAGCCAACTATATTTTAAAAAGTCGGCAACGAACCTGTAATTCCCCTGGTGTTGCAGTTGTTCATGGGAGGCGGTAGTCACTTACCATCAGGTGAGCCGAATGCTCGTTTGCCCACTCTTCTATATAACTTTTCAACTTACTTAAAATAATCATTAATTTCATTAATTGCGCTTTGACTCCATGCATTCGTTGACAGGTTGACACTTACCATCAAATGGGAAATGGAACATGAGTATTTCTTCTTATAATAACGTTTTCTGAATTTCAATAATTCTAACCTCGTCATATAGGTCCGATCGAACAGCGGGCACCGGGAAGTCCTTAAGAAGGCCGTGTATCGGAATCGACACCCGGCGCTCTCCACGCGTGAGGGTCATCTCAGGAAACACAATTATATCAGCATTCTGTAAACATAGTTATAGATACATGGCATATATAATACAACTGATCTAATGTTTCATATATCTCCTATCATTTAATAGTACCAAGATGAGTAAAATTTTTCGCCAAATCATCATTATCACAGCCTATCAAAATTCACGGCTGAACATAGGCCCATAAAGTTTATAGGAGTTTTGAGCGACACTATATCATGTCCTGTGTAATTTTTTTTACAATAGTAGTTACGCTAGTAACATTGTCTCAGTTTGCTTTATACGGAAAATGTTTTTCATAGTTTGAATTCCTAGCAGACGTGTAGGCAACCATAGTATTTTTTTATTATTTTAGAGTCGTTATCAGGAAGATAACGCTCTCCTGTTTAATGTTCCTCTGTTGCCTGTTACGGCATCCACAGGATGATATGGGGTAGACAATCGATTCTGTGACGCCGTTACCGCCATTTAGAGTGACGTAATTTTATTTTTTGTATTCTTTTCATCAAACCCTTTCATATAATAGCCACGTTATAGGAGTATATAAAAAATTACTAGTCCGCCATCTTGGTCGGCTAGGCGTACTTTCAAAGTGAGTTTCAAACTTTAACCCAAACAGTCGGATAGGAACAACAAAGTTTTTGGTTGCCAACGTATATCCGCCACTTTGATTTTTTTGCCAGAAGTTGACCATTGCCCTTGTTGTTCCCTACAACATTTGTCCGAGCACTATGAAACTATCCCTTACCTTTGCCGAGCTATAATTCTTTAAAATTAGCTCGACATCTATTTTGTTTTTTTTTGCATTTAATAATATTCAATTTTTATATATATATATATATATATATATATATATATATAATATATTCCATTGACATCATAGAATACTGTAATACGTACATTTGATAAATTAGACGTCCGCCATATTGCATTTTTTATATAGAATAACAGTGACAAACGAGCACATAGTCCACTTGATGTGAAGCGGATTTTATGGCCATAGACATCTAGATTTATCCTCGTTTCAAAATGCTTAAAACGAATCAATATGCTGACGCGTTGTCAGCGTAAAAAGGATCTCCGTTTCTCTATACTCATCATACGAAACACAGCAGCATTAAGCTGCTTTTTTACGCTGGTATTCTGTGAGAACGTGGTCCTACCCCGATCGAGCCGACCCAATCGTGCTGTAACTAAAATAGCTGCATGGCACACACCACGAAATATAACAGCAATATGCTGCTGTGTTTCATGGTTCCATACGGCCACGCCTGTATCCCCGAAAGAAAGTTGAGTCCAAATAGCAGCGAGCTATGCTGACTTCTTTAAAAAAAATGAATACTAATACGGAGTTATTTTCCAAAGAGTAGCCAAATTTAAAAACTTAAGTTCAAATATATTAATAGTGATACACCGTTACTGCAATTTTTAAAAATTCGAGTAAAATAAGACTTCCACTTTTATTTAAAATTACCCCAAATTGTGCTGCAATAACATTTTTGCCTACCAATCAATCCTTACGAATGTGTGCGTGCACAGTAAAATGAGTTAAAGTAATGCATTACTTAATAAAATTTTTTGATAAAAACTTTGATAAAGAAGACAGAATGTTTGAGTTTTTTAATTTTTCTTCACCATTCGCCTATATTACTTATTCTGGGCCATCTCTGCAAATTTGACCGGTTATTACAAATATATACAGGGTATATGATAAATTCCGTTAATAGTCAGCCCATCGCTTACATAATCACAAAACTAATATCCCATTATCACATTAGTCGCCTTTTACGACATCACGTTCATTAAGTCACACATAATCCCGGAAGCTATAAATCCAAGATCAACTTTTTACTGCAAATATTACCTGCTCTGCAGCATCTTGAATGAGCTGCAGATAGTTTTTAATGTTGGTAGCGACGTCACTCCTAACTTCGTACTCGACCACCGCGGCCACGTAGCTGTCATCTTGTGGTGTTGACTTCTGCGCAATAAAACACGTAAAACCTTGATTTAGTAAATATACAGATTTTTAAATAGAGTAAATGGGGCCTTGCACTCTATTGTAGAATGTCAGAATGTGTCAAAAAAGACACGTATGGCAATTCTCAATGCTGTGTTGATCCCTACTTTACCGTATGGTAGTAAAAGTTGGATGTGGCAGAAGAAGCACGAGAGTAGAATAAATAAGTAAAAATGCAGTCGTTAAGGAGTGTGTTAGGGCTGAGTCTGAGTGACAGGGCGAGAAATTGTGTGATAAGAGAAGAGTGTGGTTTTCAAGATGACCTTGTAACCAAGAAAAGAAAGGAATGCTTCGGTGTTTTGGTCATTTGGAAAGAATGAATGAGGAAAGAGTGACAGAGCAAATTTATGTTGCAGAAGTAAACAGCAGAGTTGGAAAGGGACGTCCTAGGCGAAAGTTTATCGACTAAATTGGCGATATATTAAATATGGGCCAAATTAGGAGTACCCTTAACCGACGAGCATGTATGCGTATATGAATGTGGAGGAGGCGAGAGATGTGTGTCAGGATCGTGCCAAATGGAAGTATGTAGTTTCTACCTACCCCTCTGAGTGACAGGCGTGAGTGTTTATGTATGTATGTATGTATTTTGAATGGTAAGTACTTTTATTAATAAAATTTAAGTGACAATCGAGCTCACAGTCCATCGCATGGCAAGTGGCTACTGAAGCCGATGGATACTTGTAACTGACTTCAAATATGGAAGGCTATTGACACACTGTCACCTTTGAGGATTATGATGTAATGCCTCACAGCCCGTAATTTAACTGGCCATTTATTTTTATGACTAATAAAGATAAAAGTAATAACAAACAATGCCATAACAATAATTTAAAACTATAAAGTAAGACTTAATGATTTGAAAATATTATTTTAGCCAACTTCGTAAAAGAAGGAAGTTCTAGATTTGATTGTTCATTTTTTAATGTTATACGATATCTTAACGAATCATGAACCTTTAGACCGGATCACAACGGTTCACGCAGCACGCATTGCGGCTTATCGTCAGAAACACTTTTTCCCTCTTTTTATATTGTCAACAGAAAGCAGCTTGCCTGCTTTGTTGCTTAGCGATAGAAATAGGAAGATATGGTAGTGGTATGAGACTTTTAACGAAGTTTTGTGTATCACTATGAAAAGTGTTTTGTATAGATGAAGTCTATACAAAACACTTAATTAACATAATACACAATATTATAATATATAATTATATATTATAATATTCATTCATTCAATCATTAAAAATTGTTAATGGGGCTTACTTCTCCCAAAGAGAAGTTCAAAGCGCGCAATTGTATTACATATGTATACCAAAGACTTTACTTTCGAACGTCATGCTATTTGGAAATTTGCCCGTTTGTAAGCCCGAATTTCGACTGCAGTAACTTAATTTTATATTGGCGAAATTGAAAGAGCAAACATTATTTTATGCATTGAATAATATCTACTAATTCTACGGATTTTATTTTTAATTCCATACTTATTTTAAATCCCGAGTGACTCCCGACGCGACGTCATAGTTAGCCCGGCTACCTTCAACTTTTGAATATGAATTTTTGGTGCAATCATAACGAGCTCACAGTAACTTGAAGTCTTGCAGTGTTATGCTTGGGTTTGGATTTAATTTTAGGATCCCATGCAGATGGTAGCACTCATCTATTTTCTCTATTGAAATTAGGATTTATTTCAAAAGCCTCGTGAATCATCCTTGGTAGGAATCGGTATTATTTTGTGAGAATTTGTAGTCTATCAAATCTAATATAATGGTGACGACGATTTTGAAAATGACTGCACTTGAACGTTCACAGACAACAGAGTTCCCGGGATGTTGCTGCTTTGCATAAAGGATTTAACCAAAGAAAATGGCGGAGTGAAACTGATTTAATTTTGTGAACAATACATTTGAAAATTAAAATACCTTTACATTAAGAAAGAAGTAAAATTACAGCCACTCCTTTCCGAGTGGATAATAGAGCAATAATTCCTCAGGTCCGCTCAAATGTGTGTTAGCAAATTTCACGTATCTTCGAAATCAAATCGACAATGGAAATGGCGATTAACACTTTCATTATTTAACAATTTTATTGGTATCAATAAGAAATAAAAAAATTATAATAAAAAAAAGAAAAAATATATAAGAAAAAAGAATACATAAGGAAGCTACACAAAAGTAATTTATTTGGTTATAAATATCTGTATCCAGTTTTGTATATAAAAAACAATATTATAACAAATTCATTTGATAGATGACTTTTAAAGCCCAAGACATTAGAGACAGAGAAGTTAATAATTTAAAAAAATGCATGTGATACTAGTCATCATAAATATAATATAATATTACTTCCAGTAACCACATGAAAACACAATCAACCTAGTCCATGAAAACTTATATTATTTTGACGTAGCACAGTGACAGTGACCTTTATGACACAATATAGATAAATACCTGTTCTGAATACAGCACGAAACAAAGAAGCACCGATAACACGCATAACCGCATTTTGACGGCAAAAATGGCTCTTTAACAACCAAACACTGAAAATTAAGCTACTAAAACGTATGGATTAGAGTTTGGAATTGCGTGAACAGAAAAGTTATAGTCTGCAATCTGCATTACTTGATATCTTTCCACTTTGGATACTTGTTTACTACTGAGTAGATGCGTCAATGCGCTGTGCTTTGTATATAAATAAAATTATGCTACGAACGCAATTTATATCCATTACACGTAACTACACGATACGATATTTTTGTTCGATACAACTCACATTTTTCGGGTATTTTTAAGGTTTTTGTAACTGCCTATCTCTAATACCTATGCATTAGGACCAATTAGTCTCTAGAATTTGAAGGGAAAGAAAAAACAATATAGGTATCAACGCTCCCGAAGAAAAGTCGGTGATCGTAAAATTTACCTAAATTTTACAAAAAGAAAGATTAATCTGTTTTATGGTTTACGCGTTGGGATATTATTGAGTGATTTATCAAATCTAGTTTTGCTTTTGATGTTAGCATAGAGTGAAATATTGTTGAAAACAAGAAATATACGAAAATACAAATTATTAAAAATTCGCTAATGAAATTGTTTTAGTATCATTAAATTTCTCACAAGTGATGTTATAAGTAACATTATACTACTGACTTATTAGACCATTTTTTATTTAAGAGGTATAATTCAAAATACTATTAAAAGTTATACTTAAGTATATTATTATTAATAGATTGGGCAAAGGCAAGGACTTAAAATCTGTTTCTTTTTTCAGTAAAATTTAAAATTATATTTTTTAACTAATCGTCTAAAGTGTAATGTCAAGTTTTATTAAAAATATTAAAAAAAAGATGATTGTAATCATTTTAATTTACGTTATATAATTAAATCGCACAAAGTCGCCATTGTAGAAGTAAAAATATTTTAATATTCATAAAAATAACTAACTGTTATGAGAGAACAATAGGCGAGCATTAAACATAACTTCGAAGTAAACAGTCATAATTTACTTTTAAAATCGATTTGAATCATTATAAAAAATAAATTAAATTAATAAAGGCCAAGTTTCTTCAACCGCATTATTGTTATTATTAGTCTTAAACGTTATCACTATCGCATTAACAGGGATTTAAAAAGAATGGTAATAGCGTGGGCTCGCTCCACGTTTACAAAAACTCACAATATCTGATTACAAAACTTCGCATCGAATGGTCTGATGGTATGCACTCGCTTCTTTCTTACTCTTCGTCTAACGCTCATCGACAGTGGAGCTTTTTATTTAATTCTGATCTTGAATCTTCAAAATTATAGATCAAAAGAGTGTATTTTAACAATCACAAATAAAATTCTACCTCTGTAAAATAATTTTTATAATATCGCTAATCTGGATATTTCAGTGAATTATCTTAACCGCAGTTCTTTTATTTATTACTTTGAGTTGATATCACTAAGATGCTGTTTACTCTCTCCTGTTTAGTTTATCTCTATCGCCTTTTACGATACCTACCACATCACATCAGTATACACAAATCAGTTGATATATTGCACGGGTATAAAATTCCAAATAACATTTTAGATTTGCTTAGATATTTTTCATGTTTCTTTTTTTACAGACATGGAATTACCACCTTTTTCATTGTGCCCAGTTTCGACCTTCATAAAATACCCACATTAAATTTTAGTACATTCAAAACTCTTCGCAAACCAAAAATTGTCATTATATCACTCTCCATCTCATCTATTTATGATTTTAGTCTAATCTTCTCTTTTCGAAATGGTAGAACCACGCTACAGCTATATTATGGTTGTAGCACTAATGGGTCGGCTTGACCGGGATAGGACCACGCTCTCACATAATACCAGCGTGAAATAACAGCTTAATTCTGCTGTGTTTCGCAGGGCGAGTGTAGAAAACCGGAGACCTTTTTTACTGGAAATGAGGCATTCCATCTCAGTGCTTAGGGGTGACAACGCGTCTGCATTTTGATTCTTAATCGAGGGTAAATGTAGATGTCTATGGGTCACAGCATGCACTTACCATCAGGTGGACCATGTGCACGTTTGTCACCATTATTCTATAAAATAAAAATGTTTCTTAATTGTCACTATATCGTTTTTCGTAGATGATTTTATTGTATGGTCAGCCTGTTGAAACCAACAAGGATAAATGTTCTTGGATATACATGATATGCATACAGCACGAAGAACATTGATCCCTTGGCTTGAAGTACTTATAAATAGTTTTATTTGTATATAAAACTGTTCCTTAAAAACGGTGCCATACAATATATAATTTATAAACGATACAGTTTTGAGATATTATAAGATCTTTTGAACAGTATTAATGCTTTCTTTATAAAGCTATTATTTGTTAAAGGTATGTACCGAACATGGAATTATAAGATATAAATATATACCGAAACCGATGATATTATGCCTTACAAGCTGTTCGACTTGTACTAAGATTTAATAAATTATACGTTAATGTTAAATCATAGAATTAAAATTATATTATTGTTCTTATAAAATAAAATTAGATCACACCAATTAATTGATTTTACTAAGAATAAAGGTATAAAATTATAACATTCGCGTTTACTAAAAGCTTTATTAGGTATTTGTTTACGGAAATAATATGGTAATAGGTATTTACCAAAGCAAACACGAAAACACGTTTTTATTTTAATTTATAAGGTGTAGCTTGTGAATTTCCATACACTAAAAGTGTTAGTATACTAGAAAAAAAAAAAGCTGAAAAAAATACCAATGTTTATTCCAACCTATAGATTACGAATTTGACATAATAAATACAGTAAAAACTCCATTTCGTAGCTTGAGGGCGTCGATATTATCTAAATTATTTAATATTCTGTATTGAGGATTTAAGTTCGTATTATTAACATAAATCGACATATCTATTTATCTATATAACTACGATTACCTTCAAAGGAGCGCCACTTATAACCTAAAATTATTATATATTAGATAAGATTTTTAACAACACAGATCATCTTGAAATTATTTATTTATTTAAACAAAAACCAGTTCCCTGTTTGACAAAGGTCTCCACCAAAAACGCCACAAAACACGATTCTGAGCCAGTTGCAACGGGTTAACACTGACATCAGGACGTCAATTACCTTAGTCCCCCGAGACCATGGGTGTTGGAAAGCACGCGAAACGTCGAGAATTAAATCAAGTAAATTAAATGCGATAAAATTCGTAAAAGTAGTTTTATTTGATACAAATTATTAACCAACTCTAGTGAGGAAGTATTATAATTTATTTATATGCAACATATCACTTAAATTATAAACAAAAATAATAAATATATAAAGGAATTACACGCATTTAATTTCTCCCTCCTTTTTCCACCATTGGACAACTAGGCGGTCAACAGGCCTTCACCATCTTCTTTTGGTGTTTACTTTGTCTTTCGTAATGCGTACAGCAAAGGAGTGAAATAATTTGACAAGAGTAAACAGGCCTTTGTTATGCTAAGTCTGTGCGATTTACCATCTAAGGTTTCATCACCACTTACGATCAAATGGTACTGTAGTCAAGGATTGACTTTTTTTATTCATTTATAACAGATTACAAAAGTCCACTTCTGAACATAGTTCATCCAAAAATATAGCCTTATTGGAAGGATTTTGTCTTATAAAAAGTATAAAAAAATTAAAATACGACACCGACCTGTACAGTTAGCCCGAAAAATCCGCAAGCCAACACCAAGAGCGCTACCCGAATCATAGTCGCAAAACATGTAAGTACTACTTTAAAACACGTGTTCTACTTATGTTCATGTATGATAAATATTAGCTAACTACTGATATAATTCTACTTTATATATGCTGCATCAAGATAGCGTTTATTATCAGACTCGTTTACCTACATGCTTGGTAGGTACGAGTAGCTAGCGAACTTTAGAAGATGCAAACTTGATATGCACAGTGAGCATGTCTTAACTTCTATCATAACGAATTTATAGGTACTGGAATTTACGACCGTAATCAATCGTGATTTGTATGTAAGCAAGCTGTTTTACTTTCAACTGCACATAAGTAAGTATATAAAATACAGATATCTATTATAATATAAAAATATAAAATAAAGATTTTCTTGCTTTATTTCGCCTAAAATATAGTCAATATAATATTATACTCTGGTGACTTACTCTGAGGAAGTTCATACTTCCTCAGAGTAATTTCATACTATAAACGTCAACGAGAGTAAAGAATGTAACTTTGTTTTATTTTATTTTGATTATTATATTTGAACAAATGTTAACTAAAATTTAGATTTCTGCATTCCTTCTCCACACAAACTTTAACTATGTCAAATATCATACTCCTCAGTGCGCACAATATCGCAGTTTACAATTACGCTAGTAATATATAAGTCAATGTACACAATATCTTAAAGCAACAGTTGCTGAAATTGTTACAAAGTTTTGCCTTCACGTATTTGTAGCGGCGCTGTCGTCGCGCCACAAGCGAATCACACCGAAGCCTAAATAACGCTATCGACATTCCGAATCATAAACAGCATATATAGAACATCTCCGAACTATCACACGGAGTGTTGGCCGCTCCCCGGGCAGAACACCTTGCCCGGCGGGAGATCTCCCCTTTTCCTTCCACGGCCACAGTGGTGACCCCGACGTGATCGGAACACGCAACCAACAACCTTCGGAAACTTCAAGCTTCATCATCGTCATAGAGTACCCCACGCATTCGCTCCCGAGTAGATATCGTCTGCAGTCTTCATATCCTGCAAGCCATCTAGCTTCACAAGGTTTATCGCAGCACTGGAATAATAATGCTTCCTGTTCCTTCAAGCTACACTCTGCGCTACAGTGTTCAGCAAGGATTTGAGCCTTACTGCTCGCCTCTGCTTCACGGCACTCTCGCAGATTATACTTGCCTTCTTCTCGACTCACCGCAGACTACAAGGCAATCTCCTGGCACTTGCACATATGTCGGAAACGAGGCTGCACTATCGACCTCCGG